AAAAAACGAAAAAAGACGAATAATACTTTTTATGGTGTTCGAAACATTTCTTTATTAGAAAATAAGTTGTTTAACGTCACAGTATATATTTTTTTCTTGAAACGAATTCAAGAAACGATGTAAAACTCAAAACAGGGACTAAATCACCCCTTACAAAATTAATGGATTCGTCCATACAAATGTCAGCATCGTTTCCTACGGCGCTAAAGGGTCTATGGTTTTGACTATTTTTGAAGAAAGTTACGATCGAAACTTGAATTTTTTATGTTACTATTCGCTAGTAATCACAAACATTTGAAAAGTTTTGAGATAAAAACGGACCTGTTTATTCTTAGGACAATACAAGTCAGCATCTGTTGCCACAAAAGCAAGATTTGTAGCGCTCCAGTCAGACAACACACGCTGGGTTGCATACTCTCTCACGTACTGCGGGAAAATGTTGTCATTCACCGGCGCGGCGCAGGCTGCCTAGCCGGCCATGCACTAACTTTTAAGGCCGGGGACCGGGACGGGGCAGCCGGCAGCAGTTTCCGGTGTTTATTTCTCATCATCAATTTCCATATTTGTTTGTAAGAGTATCGATTGAAAATGATTTGATATAAATTTTGTGGCCCTTTTTATAGCTTCTGTAGTGTAACTGGAACTGGTTCAGAGCTTTTTGACTAGAATTTGGAGGCCTTACAAAATTGAAACCGCTGCGGTGGGTGCGGCTTATATACGCCCACTTCAGATCTTAATTTGCAGATTTTTGCATGCTGCGGCTTATACACCGCGCGGCTTATATTCCAAAAATTACGGTATATCCCTATTTTTCGTATCATTTTTTCTAATTTTGTGTCGCCAAACTCACTTAGGTATAAGGCCTATTGTCAAATTTCAACCCCAACCAGGGGTGTTAATCGTTTTTCAAAAGTGGGGGAACATACCTTGATCAGAACTGATGCGAGCGTGAAGCGCGAAGCCCTTGAGGCGTGGGGTTCGGGGCCCGCTTAAGGGCCCCGAAAAACATTTGGATTCTAGATGCTCTGTGGTGCGATCTGAGGCAATTTCTGACCACTTTAACCAATATCTTCTGAGCAAAAGATACATTGTAGTACATACTACTATTAATAGGGCCCTGTAAATGAGACACGTGTTCAAACATCTTTTTTACCTCTTGTATCATTTTAAATAACCTCGTTTTTAAAAATCGCTCCTGTTTTTTAAAACTGCCCCCTCTGCCCCCCCCCCCCGGTTCCGCCGCCGGTGGTTTTCTGTCGCTGTTTGTTTTGGAAGTTGTTAAAAATCCCCGACGAAAATCCCGTTTTATTATTGATACCCAGTTTTCCCCAAATATTCCTTGGTCTCTTCTTGTAAATAAGGACCACCTTAAATGACTCATGAAGTTTCATTCGAAGGTCAGCTGTAGATACATTTTTTTTAAACTGATAAAATACAGCCATTTTTCACGAACACCTCGCTGTAGACACACACATCACACGGCGCAATAGCTGTAGAGCGTGAACGCATGCACACACCACCGGGGCACGCGCAGCGTTGACACGGCGTTGTCGCACAGCCCTGCCCGCTGAACTGCAGCGCAGCGAAGCCGTGCGCGGCACAGGCCGGTAGTTTGTTGGGGAAATATTCAGCAGGACTCCGGCCAGATCATGCATGTTAAGAATACAAATAGTTTTCTACGAACACCAATATTATTAAGCAGGATGAGCTTTCTACATCAGACTCATGTAGGTCAGACGGCCTTATGAAAATAATTAGTGTTGCACGTTTGCTTGGAATTGTTCAAAAATTTCATAAAAGAAACAATATCCTGCCCCTATTTGCACAGCAATATTCATGAAGTAAAACCACTACGGGTGCAACACTTATCACTTCAAACATTTTTCATTAACCCTTACTCCCCTGGGGGGGGGGGGGGAAATCGTACATGTATTACAATTCCAGGACTATGGACTGTTTGGGCTATTAGGAAAAATCGAGCAGTCCACAAGTGTCCCAGATCAACTTCATCCAAACATCGAAAACCTCCCCTGTCCAGTAGTGTTTTGCTTCGGGTCGGGTCCACTGTAGGCCAAACCGATGCAAAATAGTATAGATATAATCAAAATCCTGCGCTGTGTGAATTTCAAAACTGTTTCCATCTTTTTCCCCCGTTTGTTTCGGGTTTTTAATTGACCCGACCCGATCCGCAAATTTTCAAACACAAAACTGACCAACCCAACTGAAATGACAGACAAATCGACCCGACCAGACACAAAGTCGGTTTTTGGTGGGGTCGGTTACGGTTTCGAGTCTGGTCAGCACAACACTTCTGTCCAGAACCCTTCCAAGAAGCAAAAGTAACCAGCAAGGTTGCTGAAATCTATGGCCACACGACATTACGTACAGCATTGCCGCATTCCCCCAGAGATAGTAGAGGCTGCAGCCAATCATTGCATGTGGCACAAGCAGAGGCAGACTCCAATTGAATTTAAAAACTAATTTTTTATTTTTTTTTAAATTAGATTTACAAACGGGCAGGGTAATATTTATATATTACTTTATTTCATTATTTAAGTTGGCGGCCAATTTAGTGAAATCCATTGGTCTCCCGTTGGTCACAGCACACCTACAAAAACAATCAACATCAACATACACTTAAAAGTCTCATCTGTTTTAAAGTATGGAAAAGCAGGCCAACTTAAAACTTGTTATTAGTAGCCTATTTACTTACTTAAAAAAAGAACTGATTAAAATGTCTAATTTAATAATAGCATTTTAGTAGTGTCAACAATTAGTTGATTTTCAGTAAAAGTTAATATCCAGTTGTATTTCAATTCATAATTTTGGCACTTAGGAGTGTAATCTCATTCGCAGTAATCCTGGAGGAATTCCTACCGGTGTATACAATTTAGCCTAGGTCACAATCCTGCCCTTATGTACAAAATCACAATGATAATGTAAGCATGGATCCAGCCCATTCAAAATGGCAACAAGGTTGTCACTAATGCAGTTTCAGTAGAGACATGACCAATTTGTCTACTGTTTATGGTTCATGTACGAGTCAATTTTGCGATAGCCATGCACGAGAAATCAGAATGTAAATATCATTTTAAAAAAATAACAAAATTGTACTGCACATGTACAGAGGTGATCCAATCAATGGTCATAAATGAGCATTAAAATGTAAACATGTCCGATATTATGGGAGCGAGAACCAGTCCATTGCAAGTGATCATGTGTGACGTGTGAATCCCAAGCCTCAATTCCAGAGTGATTCCTTGGCAAGCAGACAATAGAAGTTCTTAATGTGTCGGATCAAGGCGGTGCATTTTTTGTTCAAATCTAGCAGTGCACATGGCATCACACAGTTTTGCACACATTCAGTTACCAAAAATACACCCAACACATGCTCATGTCTGTGTAATCCTGAACCTCTATGTACAAATGCGGGATCATGAAAGATTCACTTCCACTGTACGGCTCATTTCGACGAGTCAACGGCTCATCACACAACCATCTCACCAGAGCTCCAGAAGATACGAGAAACCCTCTTGTCAGGAGAATGATACTGCAAACTTCATGGAAAATCATAACGAAATGCTTTTTCAGAAAACAGGATGACATGTACAATTGCTTTTATTAGGGGGTGGGGTGGGGCATGGGAGAAATGTAGCCATACATTCCAAGCTCTACATGTACGGCCAACACTACAGCAGTGGTTCATTTCACATGTACATGATGTATCATGACACCATTTAACAATATTTATATTACTTTATGGGAGGGGGGGGGGGGTTGCACAATGCACAATAGGCCTGTGCAAAGTCTAAAGTGGCTGAAAAATGTGGGAAGTTTGGTGATCCAGAAAAAACAAATCTATTTGTATGGAACAGGATCACACAGAAACAAAACACTTCACTTTAGAATTGCCATTTTTTACATGTCCCCATGAAGTTGAGGCACTAATGTGTTTACATAACAATGGATTTGGCATTTGGCTAAGCATTGCTGAATAAATATGCAAAGCCTGAAATAAATTCAACGTCAAACATGCCAGAATAAGTTTTTTACCTTCCAATTTAGGCCTAGTTGATGTAATTTATGTATGGAAATCTTTCCCATGTATAACTAAGTTGTAGCACAATACACGACATGTCATGTGCATGTACATCACGCCAATGGAGGATCTTCGTCCACACATGCACAAACCTAGGTACGGGTTGAATCCGCACGCGTACCCGTACAAAATATATGAACACGCAAACGGTCGAGTTGTCTCTAAACCATCATGCGCTATGGCTATGTGTGATGCACACGCGTGTACCATGTACGCTTTACAACCAACTCGACCTTTTGGCATTCCGCGCTCACACGAAAATATGTCACTTTCATTACACCTGAATATCAACAAATCTACCGATGGCCTTACCTTCAAACCAGAAACATATGCAGCACGTATCTCAAAAACAAAGTTGTTGTGGGCCTTACATCGGGGAAAACCTGTTGTTTGGAGAAAAACACCTTTTAATGTGACAAATTTGTCACATGACCTCACACCGCGATAATCAGCTCGGTCGAACACCAGTTTTGCCGGACGCCGTTTTTAGTAATTTAATTTTCGTGAGCTGATATTTATATATGGAAATTAGGGAGATATAACACAATTTTGAATAAGAAACATTTTGAACTTGTGACCGATTCATCTACCAATGACATTCCAAATATTCCTAGATATAAATATTCATGATATAACACTCGCTTGGCCCGACCCACAAAGAGTGTCGGTGTCGTCGTTTTACGGGGATTTTCGATTGCCGCGATTAGAACGACAGAGGGCGCCATTATTTTGCGCTGGAACAGCCGTGAGCGCCACCAAGACATACCATATAATGGATGATTACAAACAAATTCCCACGATACGGTCCTTACCTCGTACGTGATAAAATACTCGTTGGAATCTCTGCGAAAGTCAGCCTGTATCCCACAAAGCAATACTCATTATTCTTTGTAATTTCAAGTGTTCTTGGTTGGTGTGGAGAGCCAGGCTAGGACGTGTTACTTCGGTCCCCCACCGGAACCGGATCCTGATAATCCGGATCACTGGATGAAGCAAGTCATGCAAGAGATACGGAAGCGTTGTCCGGGAAGGAGGAATACTACCCATGCTAGTATGGGGAATCCTATCCCAAGTACTAGGTGGAAACCTTCTCCAGCAGGTACGGAAGAACCTACCGCAGCTGGTACGGAAGAACCTACCCCTGCCGGTACGGAAGAATCTACTCCAGCCACTATGGAAGGACCTACCTCAGCCGGTACGAAAGAACCTACCGCAGCCAAAACGGAAGAATCTACTCCAGCCGGGAAACCGACGCCAACTAGTAAGTTACCCTACGATCTACCAGACCAATGGTCATTTCTTTCAAAACAGCCTGTCATGATAAACATTAACCATTAAAATGTATGCCAACCAACCAGACAGCCAGACAGCCGCCACCCGCCCCAACTCTCCCGACCGTCCGCCCACCAGATCCGAACGACCTGCCGACCAACCAACCGACCGTCCGACCGACTCACAGGCTTAACGATCGATATATGAATTAAAACTTAATATAGTTTCGTACCGACGAATGTCTGCATTGAGGTTCCAATCTCCATAACACAATGACCAATTGTATTTATTACTTTTCTCATACGCTAGCAAAAGCCGAGTGTGATAGTACAGAGCCCCTTGGTATGGAGGACGGGACAATCCAAGACAGTCGCATCAGTGTGCCCAGTATTCACGGTCCTTGTTGCCGTGCCAGGGCAGCACGTCTTCACAACAATAAAGCATGGGGACCCTCGAGGTAGGTGTCAACGGAAATAAAACACAACAGACAGTGGCGCACCCAGGATATGGCTTTTAGGGGATGGGCTCACAATTTTTTTGTTCAAATTTTTCTATAAGTTAAAATGAAAAAAAAAAAAAAAAACACGATTCCCCCATCGCACTACTCTCGCTCAAGCCCCCCGAGCCCCCCCCCCAGGTGCGCCACTGACAAAACGAACAGTTGTGTAGCATTTTGATTTAATTTCCTAAAAATCTAAGACAGTTTACACATTTCTATTGGTCGAGAGTCCGTCACTTTGCGGCTTTTAAATGGCTGGATGGTTTGAAACACCTTTCATGTGTTACACGACATTTTGACTTCTATGAAATTCGGTGCCAGTACCATTTGATTATACCATAACTAGTGGGGTGTTTCGAACAATCATGATGTATGAACAAAATCGTTTGAAATTTATAACTTTTGACTTGTTTGGACCTTTGGACCAAAAAAGTTTTGATTTTGTTTTTACCGAATATGTATATATGAATTCGCATCGGGTTTTTTTTTCAGCATACAGACTCCAACAGGTCTTAAGCAGAGTGTTTAAAACCGGCCGAGCAAACGTTTAATCCCTTATTAAAATCATAAATAGAACTACCTCACAACTAGTTTTAGCAAATCAACTCACTTGAGGATAAAGGGGATGCGCCAATCGGATATGCAAAGAAAGTGCAGACAGTAATAGAGATAATTATGTTTGTCATACCATAAGTCCTCATCCCTCTCTGTGCACATAGCCCAGCCAATTCCTGGATCGAGGTGGACCTCGTTGAAGGTAAAGTAGTGTCTGGAGTCATCACACAAGGCTTCGATGAGGCTTATGTGACGCAGTACAAAGTGGCATATAAGACGCAGCCTTCATCTGAATATGAACACGTTAGAGATGGAAACGGAAATGTCAAGGTAACATATCGAAAGTCAACCTGCTCTTACATCGCAAACAATTTCAATAGTCTGATGAATAATCCCCGATTTGCTCAAGCCTTTGATTTGTACAATTTACAGTCCGGAAAAATAAACAGATAAACCATTTTTATAATGCTGCCGAACTTGTTTAACGCCTGTGTAATTGTCAAAGCAGAGCAACTCTCCTGGACTATACCCGCAGAAGCCGCATCATCAAGATATTTCGAATTCAAATTCTAGTTTTAGTATATATGAATTATCATTATGGTAAATATGCCTTTTTGAGAAGTTAATTGTTGTTTTTCTTTTACAACCACATATATTTCTTTAGAAATAAACACTGCAGAAGTAAACATAAATATTTAATTTAAAATTGAGCCTCTGCCAAGTACGCACCGTCTGGTAATGATGTATTGTTTTGTTCATTCAACCTCTGCTTTCAAAGAAAAATAACAATAATTTCTCTGTTTTCGGATACTCCTAATAATAGTTTCCAAACGTATCTTGTATCCTGTTGTCGTTTCAGGTGTTCACCGGTAACACTGATGACCACACCCCGGTCACTAACCAGTTTGATGAGAGTGTGGTGGCGACGATAGTGCGCATTGAGCCTACTGCATGGGATGTTTGGGTTGCTCTGCGATTGGAGTTGCTCGGATGTAGCCTTAACTAATACACCTGTAGCACAGAATAGGATTGTAATTATCCTTTTGTTTTGTTTAACGCCGTCATTTGCTGGTGTAATTGACCTAGTGAAGAATATACAGTAATTCAACGTAATTTGTTAATTTCGATCGACTTATGTTGCCGACTTAGACCACAAATTTAGTTAACCTTCTTTGCTGTTTATGCAGGAAATGCTTGTTCATACATGCATAACTTTCATTAAGGCGGGCGGGCTAAATACCCCCTGTTCATTTACCGTGGGACGGTATTGTTATTGAGGAAGTGTGGGACCCTTCAAGCCAAAGCGGGAGACGGTCCACGCATGAACGCACACGGTACAGCCGTGCATGGTAACGGTTTGCAGTGGGGCTTGTATGTTTAGGGCAGACAAAAGATCAGAGGATTAGCAATGTACCAGGTCTTTGCGGTCGGTGAGTAGAAGCCGCCACTGATGGGTATGAAACCGCAGGATTCATTGTTATAAAAATGGTTGTTTGTAGCGGGAGCCGGGAGTGCTAACCGTGGGACGGTTTGTAGAAACAGGTCACCCGCTTTTTTTTCAAGCGGGAGCCGATAAAAGAGGGGCTCAATTGAAAGCGGCTCCCGGTAAGTGAACAGGGGGTATTTAGCCTGTCCGCCTAAGGCGTTCAACGCTTGATGATTGGACGCTAAGACTTAAATAGTAGGCACGATATCAGACGCAGTGTTCCAAGCGCGAACAGCGACTCACACGGCTAGGCTACAGCATTCAAATCAGTTCGTACTGGTCGAGCGCATTGGAACAACGGTCGCTTTGGCCTGTGTTTTCGGGCAATTGTTCGTTATTATGTCGTTGGATTTATACCCAGGTTTTTTTTTGGTCTGCGGACTCAGACATTGTCGGAGAATGCAGCCAAACCCTTCACCTATCTATCTATGTAAAATATCAGCCTCCGTAACCTAGTATTGAATAATAATCTCGTCTTTATTAGCATACGAGGTCGTCGCTGGAACTTTAAAAACAACAAAATATAGAAAAAAAAGCATACGCCAAGGCGTTCGACCGGCTCAACTGAGTAGCGTATTGTATCCTAGCCAAATGAGGTCTCTGGTTGCGCTTCGCAGGCCTACATTACCTGTCAGAAAGCAGTAACCAGTTGTTGTGCTGACGATCACCCTCTTCTGATTTGAGACAAAGTTAAATCATTAAGGCCTGACCACCAGGCAGTATGTAGGATGCCCTCAATCCTGCCGTCTTTCCCAACCACAATTTCCCACACAACCGTTTTCAATTATTTTCAAATCCAAAGAATTAGAACAGTTTTGACTATAAGTCCATCGCAATCAATCCTTGAACCATCCTAAATAATTCTTGTGCATAATTTTATATGGTAAGTCAATTGTTGATGTATATGACTTGATGCTATGCATGGCGGATGAGATAAAGAAGAAAGATTGCGGGTATCACCCTGTGGAAAGTAATCTCTTCTTGAAAGAAGTGTGGTCCTGAAAAGAACAGGTTGGTTGAGTGTAGAACTAGACGCTTCGGACGGTGTGCTCTGTCCGTCCTCAGGAGGGTGAGTGATGGGATGTGGTTGATGCTAGAGGTTTTATGACTGTGCGTCGTGGCAACGTTCTTTTGTTGATGCCTTCATCGGCTTTTCTTTGATGATTTTGTAATTGTGTGTGAGTACCCATTATGGGTATATAAATATATATATATTTTTTTATGACTAATCAGCCTGATTGGTAGCAAAACGTATACACTTCTCAAGAATCTCACTCCACCTGAGAAGCCATCGTCAAAACTGTATGCTGAACTGATACAAATCTTGACAGCACATCTTGCACCTAAGCCCCTGGTCATCGCAGAACGTTTTCGTTTTCACAAACGTGACCAAAAGGAGGGAGAACGTGTCAGCTAGTCAAAACTAGCTGAACTTTGTTAGTTTGGAGATTACCTGAGCGAGGCACTTCGTGACAGATTCGTCTGTGGTTTGCAGGCAAGCAGCATTCAGAAACGACTGCTTGCAGAGGATAAACTGACACTGAAAAGGGAAACTGAAATTGCAACAGCGATGGAAACTGCAGCGGAAGATGCCTTCGAACTTCACCAGCAGACAACTTCATGTTCTGCGGTAAACACTGTAGCACGACGCAAACAATCATCGTGCTACAGGTGTGGCAGATCAGGACATTCTGCCGACAGTTGCAGATTTAAAGATGCAACATGCCATTCATGTGGAAAACAGGGCCACATAGCACCAGCCTGCCGCTCCAAAGCTCGTTGCTAGGGTAATAAACCACAGAAAAAGCCCTGCAAGCCTCAACCCAAGCAGAAAGGGAAGGTGAAAACTATGGAGGAAATTCCAGACACCGATAACCAGGACGATAACATACTCATTCCCAGGATGATCATTCACAATGTGGGTCATAATACGTGTGACATGAGCACAGCTATCTGGGTCACGTTCCACATTAACGACCGCCAAGTAAAGATGGAGGTGGGCACAGGGTCAGCCATTACATTGCTATCCATGGCTGACTATCAGACATTCTTCCACGGAGAGCAGTTGCAGCCGACAAAGATAAAACTGCAGACATACACAGGAGAACAGATTTCTCCGGCAGGACTCCTGAATGCCAAAGTTCGCTACAACAATCAGGAGCACAATGGGAAGATATACATCATCAAATGCAACAGTGCACCACTTCTTGGCAGAGACTGGCTAGCTCATTTCAAATTAGACTGGCCAAAATTGTCTGCCATGACAACCGCTCAACCCCCCCCCCCCCAAGTATGGCAACACTGAGGAGAAGCTGGAGGCCATGCTGGGTGAGTACCCAGAGCTCTTTCGAGAGGAGATCGGGGAACTGAAATGCATTACTGGGAAACTCAACGTACGCGACAAAGCACAACCGGCATTTTTGAAAGCCAGGCAAGTTCCGTACGCTCTACGACCCAGAGTGGAAGCAGAACTGACAAAGCTCGAACGTCAGGGCATCATTTCCCCAGTAGAATCCAGTGATTGGGCAACACCCATTGTCCCCGTGCCAAAACCAAACGGGGGCGTACGCATTTGTGGAGATTTTAAGGTGACTGTCAACCCCAACCTTAACATCGAGTGTTATCCGCTACCGAGAGTGGAGGATGTCCACGCTAATCTCTCCGCCGGCCAAAGATACAGCAAGCTTGATTTGTGTCAGGCATACTTGCACATGGTTATTGATGCTGAGTCCAGGGAGTTGCTGACTATAAACACGCATAAGGGTCTGTTCGTCTACAGCAGACTACCTTTTGGCATCGCGTCCGTACCAGCTGAGGTAGAGATGCATGGAACAGGTACTCCACGGCATACCTGGAGTCCAGTGCATCTTGGATGACATGATCATCACAGGCCGCAGTGGTGAAGAACACCTCAGTAATCTGAGAAGGGTCCTTGACGTGCTGAAGGTCAATGGACTGCGCTTGAACAAAGCGAAATGCGAATTTTTCAAGCGTAAAGTGATCTTCTGTGGGCCCGAGATAACCAATGAAGGCCTAAACAAAACCCAAGACAAGATTCATGCCGTCAGAAATGCTCCACAACCCACCAATGGGAGCCAATTGCGTTCATTCCTGGGCCTGGTAAACTACTACCACCGGTTCCTACTCAACTTGTCGACTGAGCTACATCCACTGAATGAGCTCCTGCAGAAGAACCACAAGTGGGAGTGGACCCCTACTTGTGAGAAGGCGTTCGAGAAGGCCAAATCCTTGATTACAGCAGATGAGGTCTTGACACACTATGATCCAGACCTTCTAGTGAAACTAGCCTGTGACGCCTCGCCCCATAAAGCTTGTGAGCACGCCACCCGTGCATTAGTAGCAACGAGACTCGACTACGGTAACTCTCTGCTATATGGAGTCAACTCATCCCAAATTCAACGACTCCAGCGCGTACAAAATCGTGCAGCAAAACTAATCTTCAAGGCCAAAAAACGCGATCACGTCACTCCCTTGTTGAAACACCTACACTGGCTACCCATCAAGCAACATATAGTATTCAAAATCCTGACTCTTGTTTACAAGTGTCTTCACAACAAAGCTCCGACCTATCTTGACTCCCTCATCATGCCGCATCACTCTGCAAGACCTGGCCTCCGCTCCAGTCAGGACACGACCCTGCTCCATGTGCCCAGAACATGTACCGTAGCTGGTGACAGTGCACTCCAGGCACATGCACCTCGGCTCTGGAATGATCTCCCGCAGCACATCCGACTGTGTCCTTCCTTGGATGTCTTTCGAAAGACCCTTAAGACAAATTTATTTGATTGAGATTCATGTTTTCATAATTTTCTTGTTAATGTTCAGCATATTTTTTTTGTGTGATTTATTTATTGTTCAGCGCGGTGAAACCATCTTTGAGTAAGAGCGCTATATAAATGACTTTATTGTATTGTGTTGTATTGTATATGTCACACGTCATGCCTGATGGTTCACAGCGCCCTGTCGCCTGCGCATCACGTACACCGACGACTGCAAAACGCAAACACTCTCAAATTGACAAGGAGGCACTGGCGTTGGTGTGGGGAGTGAAGAAGTGTAATCTGTACCTATGTGGACGAAAATTCACTCTGGTGACAGATCACCAACCACATACCTCTATCTTCAATCCCCGAAGAGCACTCCTTCAACTGCTGCTGCACGACTTGCGAGGTATGCGATTATTCTTGGTAGTCATGATTACACCATCGAATACAAAAACACTGCTAAGCACTGCAACGCTGACGGGCTATCCATATAACCTTTGGGTGAGACCGTGTCTGAACCAGCGAATACTAACGAAATACTCCAGGTGTTCCAACTAGAGACACTACCCGTCTCCAGTAGCGATGTTCGCAAAGAAACAGCCAGAGACAAAACGGTTGCAAAGGTGTACGAGTATACCATGAGAGGATGGCCTTCAGACACCGATCCCGCCAAGCCTAGCAGCATACCACAGTCGCAGAAACGAAATCACAGAGCACGACAACAGCATGATGTGGGGACTTCGTGTCATAGTCCCTGGCAAACTGCGTGCACAAGTCCTAGATGAGCTACACGAGGGTCATCTCGGAGTAGTCAAGATGAAATATCTCGCTCGAGGTTAAGCTTGGTGGCCGGGAATTGACCATGACATTCTGCAAGTAGCCAAAGCCCCACTTCATACCTGGAAATGGCCTGCGAAACCGTGGTAGAGAATACACGTCGACTAAGCTGGCCCATTCTTGGGATGCGCATTCAAAATGGCCGGAAGTTGTCCAGACTTCTACCGCGACATCAATCCAGACCATTGACATCATAAGGGGCATACTCGCATAACATGGTGTCCCTGAGCAACTTGTTAGCGACAACGGTCCCCAGTTCAAGTCAGAGGAGTTCAAAACCTTCCTGAAACGCTTTGGGGTGAAGCACATACCTTCAGCTCCTTACCACCCAGCGACAAATGGACTTGCCGAGCGCTTCGTCCACACCCTCACAGCAGCAAGGAGAAACATGTGCAGCTTTCTCCTTGCTTACCGCAATGCACCACAGGCCAACCTGTGCACGCTTGCAACTATCGAGACAGTCAGAAGTGGATTCCAGGCATAATCCACTCCCAAACTGGCCCCCTCGCATACGAGGTTCGAGTTTGCCCCGACTCCATCTGGCGCAGACACATCGACCAACTTCTTGATGTCGACACTGGGAAGCCTTTTTCCTTCAACCAGCAGCCAAATCCCGTACCCCCACTTGTCCCTGATACCAGTGCCCAGATGACTCCCAATCGTCCAGTACCTACTTCACCAACACATTCACCTACCGACATCCAGCCCAGCGCAGATCAACCATCTGTTGTACCTCAGACAGCAAAATAACCACCTAGCACTGAGAGACGCTACCCAAGAGGAAGCGGAAACCACCGAATAGACTGGATCTCAATACCCCACACCGTATAAGGCCCCAAAAGGCTTGGATAGCCACTATACTTGTGTTCTATACTTGTATTTAGTGTTCAAGTTATTAGATTTGTAGTTTTAGTGTTCAGAGCATGTGTTAAAATAAAAAAAAAGAAACAAAAAGAAACAAACAATCCAAACTCTCACTTTTCATGAGTCCAAAAGACAACAGAAAAATGTCACTTTACTCGTCAAATAATTCCAGATCAAAAAGAAATTTGCAGTTTATTACGAACAAACATCATTGATCATTGCTTTGATATGCCAAAAGCTATTGCAAGTAATATCTCATGTGAACTTTAAATTTGACAGTTTTGAACAGGAAATTGAACTCTGATGATCATGTAAACATATGGACTTTATTGCAGTTCCATATTTAAGTGAGGAGGAGATGTAATGTATGCTCCCACACTCGGTAATTCATTTAAAGTATACTTAAAGTGCGCCCTCAGCTGTTACACAGTTACAATCCAGGTTTCCAACATGGCTGAATAAACCAAGTGAGCTCGCTCCAAATTGTATGTCAGACCCCACTCAATATCTCACACTCTTCTCCATGGGGAACCGCATAGACCAGTGCACGCAGTCCATTGGAAACGGGTCAGTCAAGACTTATCTGCGCTTCATTATTCAATGAACCAATATCTTAGAGATGTCTTCCTCGCTAAACGCCCAACTTCATCTTCAATGAAGCGATACACCGAGGACCTGGGAAAACTATGCCGCAATAATTTCTTCTATATTTATATTTCCTGCACTTTAACATGTCAAATAAGAACACCTCAAGACTTCGATCGCTTTTTATATCGATGTATGCATTTTTCACCCATCGTTATAGGTTCTCGTTGCAAATACTGCCTAGACTGCCGATACCACATTCAGAAAGGAAATTGACTTGGGTTGAAATGTGTCCCCGCTCCCTAAAGATAAATTTTGAATGTAATTCTGAATTCAATTTTTTCATCCGCTGCAAAAATTCTGGATTTTTCTGACTTTCCTTTTGGAATTGTTTTGCCAGCTTTTCCAAATGGACAACCCGCCCACAAAAAGGTCAGTAAAAATTGTTGATCAATAGTACATTCTACACCTTGGCTTAAAAAAAAAAAAATACCTGGAAACACTCTTCTATAGCGTTTCGTTAATAATACCTGAAATGTTCAAAGAATGTACCATTGCATATGGGAGATGATTTTGACCATAAGCCTACTGACTAAATAATATTTTACTTAATGTTTAGGTGTCTGTATACCGCAGTTTTTGCTTGTGTGTTTAAGTAAGTGCAAATTATAGAGTAATACGCGTGACTTTTTGTATGTTAATTGTGATCAACTTCAATGTCTAATTCAATTGAATTTTAACAGCACTTATTTATTCCTTAAATAAAATTTAACAACACATATTTAGCCTTTAATCCGTGTTGCCTATTCACACTAATGGTTTAATTATTAATATTTTGCTTGAGTATAAATTACTAATTTCTTGTGCGCTATTCGAATTTGTTATGTGCTCAGATTACAAATGTCACAATCAAAGGATTTATACGACATGAATGGCATTAAGCGAGTTTCTTTGGGGGTTACTAACTGAATGAAGTACTGTGTAAATAAAATTGTAACGAAATGTAGTCGGCGCTCCATACTTTTTATATGTTTTTGGTTTGCCCGCCATAGCTTGTGCGCTATTTTTAGAAACGGGTATAAAAGCAGCGTTCGCGCGGATTCTGGTCAGACTGTTTTGGCGCGCCGTAGAGTGGCAGAGTAAAAAAAGCTTCGTGAAGACAGACAGAGCGTTGTGTCAGGGAGTGACCGCAAAGCTATATTGTTAATGATACACACTCCCTTTCTTTTAAAAATAGTGGTGCAATTGTGGAATTGATCCTTGATTAAGTGAAGCTTAACACTCGTTTGATTGAAGACAGCATATTTGGGTTTATTATTGTCCCCTCTGTGTAGGAATTCCCCATTTGCTTTCCTAGACATACTTGACAGATCTTGTTAGTGAAGCACATTTATTGTTGAATTATCGATAAGAAAATCTCTTTTCCTTAAGAAAATCCTTTCCCTTAAGGAAACACTTTCCCTTTAAGGAACTCACTTTCCCTTACGGAAACCCTTTCCCTAAAGTAAATCCCTTCCCTTAAGAAACTCCCTTTCCCTTACGGAAACCCCTCCCCTGAAGTAAATCCCTCCCCTTAAGGAACTCCCTTTCCCTTAAAGAAACCCCTTCCCTTAACCCTGCGAGCTGCGAAGCGTAAAAACTTACGCCGCGTAGCTGAGGTGCTCACACGTGAGGCAGTTTTGATATCGCGTATAAAATACTATTTTGTGGACACAATCCTTTCTCTAATGGTCTAAATATTATGAATGCAGGTCCCCCGAACCCATAAAAGATTGAATCCCCTCAAGTAGGTCACTCACAGACATTGTGGCTGCACAGTCATGTACATATACACTGCATGCACTGTGACCACTACATGTTGGATTGACCATTACATGTTGGATCGACCATTACATGTTGGATCCCCCCCCCCCAAAAAAAAGGCTCTAGACAGCTGTCACTGGGCCAGCAGTAGAGGATGATTGATGACATTGTTGTGACGCCGGTATGTAAAACGCAGAGAACTTTTTTTGTTCACAAAGGAATGGGCTTTGGCTGGAGGCCCAACTTCCCAATGGGCGGCTGGCCCCCAAGTGAACTCCTACAAGAAAAGCGACCATACCATCTCAAACCACAAGATTCACTTTATGAATACATGTAGTTTCAAGGGAATGGGCGATAGCTTCATAAAAAAAAGTTAAGAAACAAAAAAGGTGCCTAGCGCGTGAGCCCCTGCGCAGCCTGCAGGGTTAAGTAATTCCCTTCCCTTGGGAGCCCATTTCCTAACGTATCGGGAACGACAACTGCCTCGCGGGAGACGAAGGGTCGAGCTCATCAGGAAGATCAGCATCTGCCTTCGGGAGACCTCGGAGGGTCGTCTAGAGCCTAGGAAACCCCCTTCCTTGAGAAACTCCCTTTCCCTTAAGGAAACCCGTTCCCTTAAGGAACTCACTTCCCTTAAGAAACCCGTCCCCTTAAGGAAACCCCATCTTTTAAGTACTCACCTTTTCGTGAGGAGTTCTTAATAAAGACATATCAGTTGTTGCATGGCTGACTAAAAAGAGACTTCTCGAAGCTTGAGCTTGTGTGTCTGGGCCCCATTTCTTGTCTGGTTGGGTAGATTTGTCATTCGAACAATATAAGGGAAAATTAGTTAAGTGCGGCGACGGACAGTCTCCAAACGGATTATCGCCCTAGGACCATCTGGACTGCCGCTCGTCTGGAAGGTTCTCGAGACAGTCAAACACTCGAAGAAATCGAGATTCGCCACAATATCATAGTTTATGCAATGGTCTAAATGTGGGAAGACTAAGCAGATGTCTGTATTTGATCGACTCTATTTTGTGATGTAAACGAGTCTTTAACAACATTTTAGTTAAGGAACCTTATTATCCTATGTATAAATAATGCATGCCTGTACACAATTTCTTTTTCTTTTGATGTTGTTTTTGCTGAGGGATAATTTTATATACGAATGTGTAATTGATATGTATTTAATGACGCATGTCATAATATGGGAATAAATGTGTTCTTGGCCGGTTTTAAACATTTGGTTTAAGACCAGTTTGGAGTCTAGATGCTGATACTGACCGAGCCGAAGCCGAGGGTAATTATCAGCATGAACACTCCAAACCAGTCTTAAACATATTGTTTAATACCGGCTAAGCACATGTTTATTCTCATTATTAAATACCCTTTCGGTCAAAAAGTCAAAAGTTTTCTATACAAAGCTCAAACCAAGTCAAACATTATTAATTTCCAACGATTTTGTTTAACAATTTTACTTCATGTTTTTCGAAATATCCCTCTAGTTATCTTATGGTATTTCCCTATCGCGAGTATTCGTAAACAACTCATTATAAGGAGATTGGCGCGCGCATGGCGCATAAAGTGCGATGTGGCTCAGAACGCGGCGGTGCCAGAGTACTTGATAATAGGGCTATCGAAATACGGACTCATTGGTAATATAGGGCGTAGGCCTAGGCCTTAAAGAAGATTGAATATTTAACCAAAAAAACGGTAACAGGTACCAAACTTTATATGAGTCAACATTTCATGTGACGCCAGAAAAGTTTTTAAGACCAGCAAGCCGATGTTGTATCATCCGTTTAAGACCGGCCTCGTGACGGGCTCTCGACCAATAGGAATGAGTAAACGTTCTTAGTTATTTATGAATGAAAATTCAAACAAATCAATAGAATAATAAAGTGGCATTATAGTAACTAACTACCAAACAAAACCTCAAATTTTGCAATTCTTTGTCTTGTGCAGTAGTTCATTAAGGTGACACATCGTCCTAAAATTGCCGATGTTTTTATTTGTTTTAAGATTGTTCATGTATCCTATTTTTTTAAATTAACGTGTAGGTGAGATGAAGCTAACCCAATGACGCATTGTTTGTGAGAAAATACACAAAAACAACGATGCTTTACTTTCAAAGCAGCGGACATTATGTGGCATATGCAAATGTTTTTTTTTTTCCATCCGTAATCGTCCCTCTCTTGGAAATTAGCCCCAGCTTCTGTCAGACGACTCAATATACGGTACACGACGACATGTGTTGTGTAAACATTTACACCCAACAACACCATTACACACGTTGTTTCCCGCACGTCTGCATCATGCAGTGGTGGAGCATGTGTGGCAGAATGCACGACTAGCACCAAACAGCTCGTTTTTTTTTAGGGGGGGGGGGTCAAAATGTTGAACCTGAAATTTGTTCTTGTAATAATAACACATGACAAATCGGCCGTTTTAAAAGCGTGGTTGATGTTTTATTCTAAATTGGAAAGGCGTATCTTTCAAACCATACCTATTATCTCCGTATTAGTTACACATTCTCTGTCTGACTGTCCGTTATATTTTGTTCGCATTTTTTACACACACTGTATAGTCGTGTTTGACTGGGAAAAAAAGGAAACACTTTCAAACTTGACTGGGATTTTAGTGTCAGTAGGCAACAGCTTAAAATCACTCTAAAAAAATGACACAAAGTGAGGATGATCAATGACACCTCATTTGAGTGCCCCATAATTTTGTATCGATTAGCCCTACAACGTTTTGTCTTACTAATTAATGTTTTAGCTTGAAGAAGTGGCTTTCACTGTACATCGCTTTGTGTATTTTTTAAATAAAAGGGAAGGCGCTTTATAAGTAGTTATTACTGTTAAAATTGACGTTGGATGGCCATGTATTGAAACAAAATATGAAAATATCTGCGTACGCTTTTCAATCGGTCTAAAAAAATAAAGAACGCAGTCAGTGTTTCGACTGAACAATATGACGAATGTGCAGAATATGATTCAAAGAGGATATCTGTGTACAAGTTAATAACAAATCATATTGACACTTGTGGAGAAAAGGGTCGTTCAAAATGTAATCAATGCTGTCACCGCATTAGTATTTACAGGCAGATTTCAAAATGCAAATCTTAAGCCTCACTTAATGTTGTGGTTCTAATATTAAACGAAAGTTGTCAAATGTTCAGTATTTATCCAGGGTTTACTTAGGCCTACGTTTAACCCCAACCTTTGATTTTTTAAACGTTTTTATTAACATTTACGGTACAGTAATTCAATGTTAAAACCATGAGGATTACTTGACCTGTCTTTGACCTATTTATGTCTTATTACGCTCTAGCTTATCTCTTCTTCGTGTTGTTTGGTGCAGGACCAGCTGTTCACTTTATTCAATTTCAATTTCAAGAACATTTATTTCCATCTTTTCACAACATTTGATTATAATACAAAATAATGAAAAATTATACTGATGGAGGCATGCTAAAAAAAGCCGAAGCTTATAACATATAACATGCCTGTACAAATACATAACATCTCACACGATAGACGAACGTTTAGAATAAAAAAAATAAGGAAAAACAAACAATTAGAGAAAAGGACAAACAAATGTGATAAACATTACCAAAGTGCAATAATAATAACGGAAGCGTATAGAACAATAGAGGAGCAGCGGCAGAGATGACAAGATAAATAAAAAGCAAAGCAAGAGGTAAAAAGCAGGCAAATTAAACTGAGAGAAACGAAGAAGCGGAGAAGCTATGTAATATAATGGGCGTGCAGATGCGTCTTATGATTTTTAAATCTGCCTACAGAGGATTGAGATTTGATAAGTGGGTCAAGTCCATTCCAGAGACGTGGTCCATAGAAGCGTAGAGTATTCATCGAGTAGGAAGTGCGAGTGAATGGTACATACAGGTTTTTGTGAGATCTGGTGTGATATTGGTGAATATTATTAACAGAGGTAAAGTACGATGAGAATGTGAAGGGCAGGAGATTATTGGTAAATGTATACATTAGAATACCTGTTTGAGGTTTATTAATATCGATGAGTGTTAGTGTGCGTAATTTGGCGAACAGAGGTGCGGTGTGGTCACGGGGGAGAGTCAGGGTGCATATGCGAATTGCTCTTTTCTGGACTTTGATTAAAGAATGCGTGCCCAAACGATGTTACAGAAGTTCAGATAGGGAAGGATCAGTGTGTTATATAGCGTGAATAAAGTGGTGGAAGGTAAAAACGAGCGGAGTTTGGAGAGTACACCTGTGTTGCGGCTTATTACATTAGAGACGGAGGCTATGTGATGAGACCAGGAGAGTTTATCATCGATAATGAAACCAGGGAATTTTGTGGAATGAACTTTACAGATGGCAGTACCATCTATCTTCACAGCTTCATGTTGACTGGAGTTGGATGACCTACTGAAGATCATATACTTAGTCTTAGAGGAATTAAGGGAGAGCTTGTTCGCTTGGAACCAAGATGAAAGTTTAACAAGCTCGAAATTCAAGATGTTGATCAGAGAAGCAAAGTTTGAATGTGAGAAGAGAATAGTAGTGTCATCGGCAAAAAGGATAAAAGACAAGAGAGGAGAACTACAGTGAAGATTATTATAGAAGAAACGTATAGAAGAAACAGCAAAGGGCCAATGATAGAGCCTTGTGGCACGCCATAGTGGATTGTCATGGGAGACGAATCGCAGTTTTACTGTAGTATACTGTCTTCTATTTGATAGGTAATCAACAAACCACTGAAGAGCGACGCCTCTAACTAAGTAATACTCAAGCTTTGATAGGAGAATGGATTGGTCAATCGTATCGAAAGCCTTAGAAAGATCAATGAATAAATCAACAGAGTGTAGTTTATCAGAGAGAGAGAGCTAGAGAGGTAATCAACAAGATGGATAAGCGCCATATCTGTGGAATACTTGTTCCGAAAGCCGAATTGATGATCATAAAGAAGCTGGTGTTTGGAGAGAAAGTTAGAAAGTCGCTTATAGATCAGCTTTTCAAGTATTTTTTGAGAAGCATGGAAGGACGGAGATAGGCCGATAATTAGAAAAGTCACGGCGGTCATAGGTTTTAAAAACAGGAGTTACCTTCGCTATCTTTAGATTAGAAGGAACGACACCAGTAAGGATAGACAGGTTGAAAATGTGCGCAAGAGGATGAGAGATGAAGGATATGCAGGATTTAACTACTGATGAATGGATATCATCAAACCCACAACTGGCATTTTTAAGTTCATGAACAACTTGTGAGATTTCAGAAGGATCGGTGGGAGAAAGAAATAAAGAAGAGGTATTTCTATCCTGCAGATAATCTGTGAAGTGAACATCGGTGGAAGGAATCCTGCTAGCCAGCGTTGACCCGACACAAGAAAAGTAAGAATTGAAGGTGTCAGCAATAGTGGAAGGATTAGAAATAGACTGATTAGCATTGAGGAAATTATCAGGAAGATCATCCTTCTTTTTCTTGCCCAAGATATTATTGATCTCACGCCATGTGCTTTTGACATCCTTCTTTGCATTGGCGAACCTGCTGGCGTAGTGGTTTTTCTTTGCCATTCTAATAACTTGAGTGAGACGATTACGTAACCTTTTGTATCTCTGTTTGTTTGCCATTGTAGGATTACGCAAGAAGCGTTTATACAGCTTGTGTTTAAATTTACAGGACTTCAGTATTCCCCGGGACATCCATGGCTGATTCTTCTTGCTTTTACCAACAACTTTTGTTACAAGTGGGAAATGGTGATTGTATAGAACAGTAAATCTATTGAGAAAGGCGTCATATGCGGTCTCCGCATTGGTGCAATCGTAGACTTCACTCCAGTCTGTGTGCTCAATGTCAGCTTTAAAAGCTGAGAGTGTAGCGCTACAGATGTCACGTACGATGTAAGTACTTGGGGAAGGATGATTGCCTTGGAAACAGTCAGAAGTAATCTGGAAAAGGGGAAGGTGATCAGAAATATCAGCATAAAGTATACCTGAAGCAGAAATATTGGTATTATTGTTAGTAAGGATATTGTCGATAAGAGTGGAGCTGCGGGGTGTGATACGAGTGGGTTTATCTATCAATGGACGAAGACAATAGGCATAAAGAGTATTCACAAAATCCTCTGTAGGCTGATGAGTGGAATAATTTGTCAAGTCAAGATTGAAGTCACCCATTATATAACACAGCTTCTTTTCATTCGTGATCTTGTTGAGGCAAATATCAAATGAAAGGAAAAAATGTCTGTGGATGTGCCAGGAGCTCTGTAAACATTACCAATGACAAGATTACAAGCACCATCACGCTGGATCTCAATAAACACACATTCAAAGTCCTCACAAGAGGACATGAGATCGTCTCTTTTGGTGAAGTTCAGGCAGTCACTGACAAAAAGGGCAACTCCTCCCCCTATTCAGTTTCAGTTTTCTTCAACTGCTCTTCCTTGCGCTCTTTCTCCTGAAAAAAAGGTAATGAAGTAACCACAGAGTTATTATTTTGTTAAATTGACAAAAACAAACAAACAAAAAAACAAAAAAACAAACAAACAAACACCCCAACAACCCAACTACACGACAAAGAAAAACAAACTAGAAAGCACCCAAAAGAGCGAAAACCTCCGCAAAGGCTAAACAATACCCCGCAATCTTTTCAGTACACCCACAAGAAAAACTCGCATAAAGGTTCACGAATCCTTTAAAATAATCCTTGATCCAGACCCAGATCCTGATCACTTCCAAAATGTTATCGATTTGTACTTTTACTGAGGACCACCCCTAAAATTTCATGCAAGTCCGTGAATATCCTTTTTGAGTTATCTTGCTAATCGACAAACAAACCAACCATCCAACCAACAAACAGACAAACGCCGATGAAAACATAACCTCCCTGGCAGAGGAAATATAAAACAGAATAGACAACAACCAAAACGTCTGGGGGTAGCAACTCACCTTCACATTGCGGAGGGTGTAGAAAACTCCGAAGAGCACCAATACCGATATCACCCTGATGCCCCCGATCAAACCCTGGAAGGAGTATCTGAACAGGTCGATATCGTAGAACCAACACGCGCCCCTATCACCGTTGCTGTATCCCCATAGGATACAAGCCAGGTTGATTGCCGCGCCAAAGTACAAGGGTGCTGGGAAATATCCTGATAAAAGCGAATTAAGATATAGTTAATGCAAAGTCACTAGATAACCAAAAAAAAAACCTGGCACTGGTGATCACTTATCTGTTTTAAAGAATCTAATGACGAAAGCACACAATGTATCATGGGAGCTCATAGAAGATGTTTTTACTGCCGTTTAAAGATGATATTTCAATTCAGTTGCAGTCTATTTCAACAGTACCAAAATATTAATGACAATGACAATCTTAATAAAATGATAGCAGAAATAAAAACATTTGGAATAAGAGGTGAAGCAATGTTTGTGGGGAATGGGCTCCTACGCATAAGTGTGCATTGAGCCGACTTGATGTGAGTTTTTCCCCCTGATTATTATTTAGTTTTTTTGCAAGAAAACAAGGGAGCAAGAAGACAAATGTGCAAGAAAACGAGAAATGAAGGTTAGACTCCTCTAATTAAAGAAGTTTACATTTTACTGACAGTTGGATTTTGTTTCAGTGCGCGTGTCAAGTTTACATTTTGAATGTTCTCGATAGCTTGGGGGTGAACATGACAAATTCGATGATTCCCATCCTCAATAGACGCGAGTGTTGGTTGATATTGACTATCTTGATAATGCCTATCTTATATTCCCGATTTCATTTCATGGCGCCAAAATGGCCGTGTACATCATCGACAGTTTTGGCGGCATAGTGGTGCATAGGATAAAATAAACATTACCTTTACTCGTGGACGACAAAGGTGGCATATGAGTGTCAATGTATCTAGGCAAAGGTTTCAAAAGGTGTGCTAAAAGGTATGTCAATCCATGAGAGCGCCCTCAACAATATTGTGTTGGAGATTTTCATACAAACTGTTTTGGTTTCTTCGAATGAACAACAAAGGGAAACTGACCAGGAGAATATTAACAATATTTGGAAAGTTGAACAAAGAATTAAACTGGAGCGGGGTTAGAACCTGCGACCTCCGGATTATCGTTCTGTTGCTATACCAATTTAGCTATTCAGCATTTAAGCGTGTTCCCTGACTGTAAGGCATATATGGGCTGTTTTTCACCTACAAACGCAAACAACCTCGTCCCCATGCATGAGTTAAATATTTTAAGCCTCGTTCCTATAGTAATTCTTGTGTTGGAAACTAGTTTCCTGTATCCTGATCCAAGTGATGGATTTTTATCGTGAACTTGATGATTCTTTTTTTTCCATCGTGTATTACTTATTTTAACCTTCAATGTGAATAATTAGGTCAATTCTACCTAACAAAAAAGATCTTCAAGATCTACACACGTATGTAAGAACTTGTAAATGTTCCCACATCAGGTTGAGAGAGCGTGTAGTTGGGAGAGCGTCTACGGCTTGACACAATGGGAACGAGGTTGGATTCTGCAGGTAAGCGATGGACACGTGAATTACTACAGCATCTTTTACAATTTGCAGAGTGACGACTATGAGGAAGGAATGTGGGAGGTGTGAAGCAAACGTTGGTGGCACTTTTATTTATATTGATCATTTATTTAAATACATTTGACTAAGACTTTACATGGGAATAAGTTTCATAAACCATGTGATCCTCTAAATTCACCAAAGCAATGATGATATTTACCCAAGAGATTCAGAACAAGTGTCTGGAAGCCGAGAGCCGTTGCTCGCATATCATCATCGACAATTCTGTGCAGGTTAAAATGACAACCTTAATTCCAGTATTAAATATTGTAAGGAATCACGTCCAGAATAACTACATAACAAGTCCGGTTAAAAGTAAATCTGCAAGTCATTTCTTAAGTAAAGTCCGTAACAGGGGTTGAAAATAGCAAATGAGCACCTTTGTCAAAGTTTGTCGAATTAAAGTGCTCATTCGAATATCTTCAATTCATTATCTCGAGACGGGATGACTTGTGAGGGACTTAATTATTGGGACTTAATTATTGGGATTTATGATGACTTTGAGGACTTGTAGGGACTTGTGGAAACTTGTTGGGACTTGTTGGGTCTGAAGTATGGGGACATGTGTGGACTGACTTGTGGAGTCTGGTAGGGACTTGTGGGACTTTTGATGATTTGTGAAGACTTTACGTGTGGGGACATATGGGGACATTGCGGGGACTTGCAGAACTTTGTTGGACTTATGAGCATTTGTGAAGACTTATGCAGTTTTCTGAGGACGTATGATGACTTGTGATGAACGGGACATCAGTACTGAACTGTACTGATTTGTCGATATTGTTTATAACTTGTAATGATTTGTGGGGAATTGTCATGACTTGTGCGGACTTGTAAGGACCTGTATGGACTGTTTATATATATATATATTACTTGTAATAAACTTGTGTGGTCGTGTGGGTACTTGTGGGGGCTTGTAAAGACTTGTACATACATGTGATGGACTTGTAGGGACTTCTCAGGTCTTGTGAGGTCTTGTGATGGACGCCACTACAGTACTGAGCATTATTGCAGAATCGTCGATCTTGTTTATTTAGACGAATAATACTAATAATAGTTGTGCTAATGCATCTACAATATCAAAGGGCTTTACAAATATGACGCTTTCATCAGGTCACGAGACCACGCGGCAACCAATGCCAGTGCACATTCGGACTATACCCTCTCAGGTACCCATTTTACACTTCTGGGTGAAGAGAGGCAATCGTAGTGAAGTGTCTTTCCCAAGGGCAAAAGCACCATGTTCCTGGCAGGGATCGAAACCATTCACCATCGTTCATAAGTCAAACACAGTAATAACTGAAATGTTGAATCCATCATTGATTTTCATTGGTGATAGCGCCCTCCACTGTTGCGGTGGCATGGCAAACCTGTTAGAGATCAGGACTAGTTGCATCACAGAGGAACAAAATCTAAATCCAGTCTTGGGCCGAAACTATATTCTTACTGTGGCATTGTTAGAGGAGCACAAGAAATAGCCAATTCACATGGCGACCACCTGTACACGGCCCTCTACGGCGTCTTTTATTTAACACCATGAGATGGCGCTCTTCAACAATAACAGTAATGCTATAACACTATTGCACTCACCTCAATGTTATAAGTGCCAAGCCCGTTTTGCCGAGAGAGCTACTGAAGAACATCGCGGCACAGATAGTTATGATGAACGGCACAACCCAATCCGGGCAATCGTCTGCGCACTCACCGTCTATGGCCGTTGCGTTCACGCCACCAGGTTGGATGCAACGACACTCGCTAAAACTCTGCAAAATAAGAATGCAATTTGATAAATGAAAGAGACTAATATTAAACGAGTGTAGGTCATCGAGGTCACCAAGGAGAGTCACAGCCATAATTTGTAATTTGTGACTGGCTGTCAATGCTTAAAGGCATTTACTTAGGATCATTTGCGTTTCATGTATATTTCGTTCGCGTCCAATAATAACATCACTAAAAATCCAAGGAAGAACGATTTTAACATGACCCTGTTGAAATTTCAGCTCAGTGGAAACAACACTTTTTGAGAAAACAGTAAAAAACAACAATTCATGAGCATTTTTCCTCATGAAATTCGGAGAGACCGTATCAGCGGCAAAACAGTGAGTGTATGTCTGTAGTGATGTTTAAGACTTCATGCGTGCGTTAATATTTCTGTTGACGTACCTATACCTAAAATACATTAGCTCAATTATATATTGCTTCTGCGAGAACGTATTGATTTCAAGTTGAAACATTTTGTTGAGATACTGAGACGTCCGAACGAGTTTCTGAACTACCTCGTATCTTAAAAAACAAAAATGTCAGATTCCTGCATGAATACCTTTCACTCAACAACTTACATTGATCCATTTTCCTCTGTCGTCTTTGGCCCTCTCCACAACCTCGCACCCAGCGTAACATGAGGACACATAGGTTATGCCGTCGGCACCGCAGACGGGGCTGTAGTCCTCGTTCCCGCAGGTACAGTTGACGTTGCACGGCGACACAGCCTGCTGAACCGAGTCTGGAAAAATAAGCGGCCTAGAGGCAAATAAGTCAGGTTACCTGTGTTACGCATTTCCGTTTTTACCGGTTAAACTTATCACCCCATCACCAGTACGGTTTTTGATTTTATCGTAGTGGATAGACCACAACGTTACCCGTACGCATACCAGATGTCGTTCTACATGTTTAATCCGTCGTATGATGATCAGTCACATGATTAAGAGTAACATGATGATAAAATGGCTGCCGTCACTTTTAAATTCATGTGACTGGTTAACAAAAATATCGCGTCCGGTGAAATCGCAGTGCTGCCCGCACACCTTTCTGGTGACATCTGTGAAATCGTACGGGAAAACAATCAAACATAGTTAATTTCATCCGGTCGCGCGACGTACAGCCAGGTCGGTCCGAAGTTTTGTGCGCACACCTCGGTACGATTACCCGGTGATCCGGTGCCCCGGTAAAATCGGAAACTTGTACCGGCTTTACGATCAGGGTTACCTTTAGGATTGGGGTTTAGGTTAGGATTTGGCTTATGGTTAGGGTTTACGAGTTTCTCTCTTTACGACTCGCTGTACCAAGTATTAGCTACATAATTCTAAAGACATTGTATAAAAACGTTTAAATTTGCGACAAGATTCTTGGAAAGTAAACCTATTCAGTTAATTGAAACCCCTTATCATATAGGTATATTGTGGAAAAAATGTGTCCGCTATTCATCCCAGATATTCAATGAGATGACCCGTTCATTTAAATGTTTGGCAACCGTGTTATTTTGGCAGATACACGAAGAATACAAATAACACCAATACAAACACAAGTAATCTGCCACTAAATTAACCACGTTTTGCATGAAGACAATTGGCATAACAAATGAATATGAACTGGCGATATTTGATCAGTCTGTTCAGGGTTTTGATGCTGATCAGCCCCAAACAATCGCAGTGTTATTGACTCTTCCCCAATTTCTCAACAAATCCATATTTATGGCCACATCAGTTATCTACGAACTGTTCTTCCTGGGGTCCCTGGATATTCAAATAAATTACACATTTTGCACAATCAAGAACATATCGGTCCTTGAGATGTCTTCCACGCTGTTTATCTGTAGTAATTCCCGTTCATGTCAAGTGTATACCATTTTTGTATGTTTTTATGGACATTTGATAATCTCGTTGCGAGTACTCGCAATAGTTTCCTTGCAAGTAATTGAGTAGCTAAATCTACTACCCGCCCAGGCCTAGTAGTATTGAAGATTGCTGTTACTTTATCATACATGATGAGTGAAAAAGGGAACATTGTGTTAAAATGGTGATGGTTTCCGAACGGATTGCCAATTTAAGTCATTTTTTTTATGTAAAAGTACCTTGAACATTGGCTTTCAAGTCTGTTTTTTTTCTGGTGCAACACATTTATCATATATTCTTTTGGGGGTTTGGGTTCCGCTTTTTGACTCATCCTGTATTAATTAATGTAAATATTTGTTTTCTTTGGGGGAGGGGCTGTTTACGTACTGGGTAATTTCGGGAAGCCCGTCGAAGGGTGCAGGAGCTGCGTAGTTCGTTGAGACACCAGCGACAGGCTTTGTGTTACACCCTACGAGGAGAAAGGCGGGCATGCACAGGATAGCAACAACTTCACCGAAGATCAGAATGAAGGTGCACTGCGCTGGTGACAACTTCCAACGCCTGATGATTAAGCCTCCGATCACGTTACCAGCGGCCATGCAGGCAACGACGACAACTATGGGAAAGAGAACCAAGACGATATGACACATTACAGTACAACCCCAACAGTGTCAGTTCGACTATTTTTGCAATAACTACAAAACCATGCAAATTTCGTATTTTTGTGGATGTGCAGATGCTCCTTAGTCTCGGTCTCAACCCCTATGAGTGTCATTTAGTTTTAGTCACACATCACTTCACACGTATCTATTGATTACAACAACATTTTGGACACTGTGACCAAGTTCCGTGCCTTAGTCAATTTCAGTACTATGTTAAGTAAGCTGTGTAAAATCCTTCATGTTATGAAACGGGATGCTGTTGGGATTGGAATAATTTGCCTGCATGCCGAGACCTAATATTAATGACAAATGATTCCAATGCCAAACCAATTCAGCCTTTGTTCACAACATGCAGAATTGTACACAGCTGACATAACGCAGCACTGAAATCGATCAAGGCATTGTACGCTGGTTGTTGTTGATCAATTGTCAATTTTGCAGTGATGCGTGACTAAAATAAATGGAACCCATAGGGTGACAGAAAGTCAGTGGTGTAGGCGCAGGGGAGGGGGGGGGGGGGGGCGTGCCCCCCCCCCCCCACACACACACTGAAAAATTCCTGGCTACGCCACTGCAGAAAGTCCCGCGCTCATTGCTTTATGCGCTCAGAAAACGTTATAGAGCATTGACAAAGTGTTTCAGACCCGTTTCCGCATTTTCGTTGTTGCAAACCGTTAAAACCCTCCATTTGATTTCACCCATAATTGGCATGATTTAAGCATAAAGTATTAGGCCTAGTCTGACGAAAATTATCGTTATTGAACATCATACAATTGTTGCCTGTTGTGATGGGGTCCATTGTGTTTTGTACACCCGAGAGTGTACAAAACCCATCGACCCCAATCCCGGCAGGCAACGATTGTGTTGTTATACCATGGTAATAGATTCCAAGCGTCTGAAATTGTGGATTTCCTCCAGTTGCCGTGTAGTAATAGCGGAAGTACTATTTTGAAAAGATCCATGATAACTGCACCGTGAATATTTGCATTTTTTTTTTCGCTGCACAGAAACATAAATTATTTTACCTTGTTACTGAATAGTAAAACAACACGTTCAACAGTGGGGTAATGTACTCTGTGGGGTACATCACTCATGTGATGGGTGTACCCCAACATGATACATTAACTAACATAATTAGGGTGTACATCACGTGCTTGGTTCTCGACCAATAAAACATCACAATCTATTACCGAGGTATATCAAGTACATTTGTGTATACATGGCACGCACGCCTCACCTCGTACGCTTTAGTAAATAATAAGTGGTTTATTTTCCTTTGTTTTGCAGAACTACAGGCACAAAGGTACACATATGCATTCCCGTCAAACCGTACATATTCCTGATTGTACCACAAGCTCTCATGCTGTAATTTCACCTGTACTCATCCACTTAAGTATTGTATTCATGATCTGAACTAATAACGCTAACAGTTAGTGTTGCTTGCCCAGCAACAGTTTGACCGCTGTCCATGTGTCACTGTGTGTAACCTTCGACCCAACTGCGCCTTTCCTTTCCGGTATACCCCTTCGCCATTTCACAAGGGGGTTGAGGCCAAGGCTTATGAATATCTACACATCCAAAAATGACCTCTAGGTACTATAATTATTTCAAAAACAGTCAGACGGACACTTTGTTGACATGCTGTATAAATGCCGACTTGGGAGAACATGCAATCGTAAATTCCAAACCATATGCTGGAGTTGCAGTCGAGAAAACACAAACTAACACATACCAAACATTTTGAAATATGTCCATTTAAAAGTCTGACTGCATAATTATAACTCCACTAATTTTGTTTAATTGGATGGGCTGAATCTATGATCATCAACAGGAAATAATGTAGGCCCTAAAGTCTATTAATATTAAAAAAAATAGTAACAATAATAATAAAAAAAATACATATTAAATATTGATACGAACTTCGGGAAATTTGCTTAACAAGTAAAATGGGTCTGTTTGTAGCATAACTAATTGAAATAGCCCTCTCTTTTGATCATTACTAATTAGTGCAAGCTGTTCCAGGTAAGTTTTTGTAAGTTTTAACCCCAAGGGTTAAAAAAAGAAGGGAATATTACATTTATCTTCGACTGCTGTTAGGTCTTGGGTTTTACCGGGTTTAATGAAGCAACAGACCCTAAGGAACCAAAACTATTACAACAGTGCCGGATCGATTTTGTTTTTACTTGCAAGTTGTGATGCCAGTGAAGTGCTAATTCCCAGCTCCACTCTGAAGTATTTCAGCGCAAACGTTCCAAAACCCGAGGTTATAGCGGACGAAGCTGCAGTAGTAAGGCACAGCAAGAGCAGTGGCACATTCGTGAGCATCGTCTTGTAGCTATAGAGCATTTCTCCAAATAATGAAAAGGGGAATACGTTAAAGCAGTAACCTGGTTATTCTTGGCACGAAACTGGATTTGGATATTTCCCTATGAAAAGTCAGCACAAATTCCGCAACGTATTTTTTGGGGGGATGGAGGGTTTCCATATTTAGACGCCCACTTAAATTTGATCAACGTCCAGCAAAGAGCTTGATGGCCATTTTTGGTGAAGAAAAGTCGTTTTGCAGAATTTTGTCCCATTTTTAAACAAATTTAATTTTAAACCAAACCAAAACAGGCACAAATGGTATGTTATACATGTCAGTAGCTAATCCGGAGGTTGTCACATCAGGTAGGCAGTAAGACAATGGCAAAGTGACAAATCAAAACAAGGTAACACATCGGACAGCCAACAATACAAGATGCAGGGGTGTGAAATCTCAGCTTTAAAGCTGATTTCATTTTTTTTTTTTTTGGAATTTCAGCTTTTTCCCCCACTTGCTGTGTACAAAAGTATAGGAGATTTCCAAAGTTCAGCTTTTTTACACCTTTTGCAGCTTTTTTTAGCTATTTTTATCAGTGGTCACGCCCACCCCTGAAGGTGCCATGTCTTGAAGTCAGTGACTACAGGGTGGCACGTTGAGGTGTTTGCTTGACAAATAAGGTGACACATTGACTGGTAGACAGTCACATCAAAGGACACAAGTGTGACTTGATCAACCTGACATGACATTGGAATACCTAGTTTGGGACATTGTGACATTGCGTTAACGCCAAGTGACATACACGGCTAAAGAAAAACCCATAGGTTCAATTATATACATGTACAAACTAAGGAACTACGGCATAAAGCTTTTGTATGCAGTAAATGTGTAAAAGACATCTTAAAGTGAAACAAAAAAAGGTTGGGTGTCGAATCTTCATACAAAACGTTTCATAGGTTGCACACCTTGCCCCTCCTCTTGATTGGGTAAGGATTTTGATTGGTTGGCCGGGCAGTAAGCATACTTACTCTTCAGAATCACTGATAGTCTTTTCATAAATGGCGCCTTGTTACGATCGTCCTTTGCCCCGTCGCTTCCAGTTTCACTTGCTGAAAGCTCGTCCAACTCCAGCTCTATACCGTCATCTCTAGTTTCCTGAAACCCGTTCTCCTAATCGGTAAGAACCAAATATTACGTTATAAGGCAAACATGGCAATTAAAAACATCCTTGCTACTCTTCGTTTTTGAACAAGTCTCCTGTTAAACAGACACATCGTACCTTAGTTTACATTTCAACGTACATATTTTCTTTGGATTTTACAAAACAAAGGGACAGTTTGAATCAGTTTGTTTCAAAGAGCATTTCCTCCATTTCATAATCCGCACGGTGTGATATCATTTTTAATAAGCTAGACTAAACATTCCACATGTAAAGTTTATATTGAAGTCTATCGAACATAATAATTTAACGCCTGGACACTTACTGGATTGCAAGAAAGAAAAGCAAATTACCCTAAGTCAAAGCACAACCGAAAGCGGGGATAGGTTTATACTAAATAGAGGTGTGTTTTAAGGTTAACTTACTATATGATTATATTGCATTTGGCAACTTAATATTCATTACTTGTTTAATTATTCAAGTCCAATAACGAAATTAAGAACGAGCCAGAAATAAGTCTAATTGTCAACCATGCTTATTGCCAACCATGCCCAACGCAGATTATATATACGACTAACCGTGTGTGTGAATGAGCGTGGTGAATGTGTCCTGCTCAGGCAAGTGAGCCACGCCCCCGTGAATATTCATAGCTTACCTTCGCTTCCTCTGCATGTTGCTCTTCCTCCCTTATCCTCTCTTTTGTCTTAGGCAGGTGCCGGGGAAAGAAGAAGAAGGGAACGCTGATCAGCAGGACCGCGCAGCCGATGATGACGAAGCCCAGCCACCAGGCACCGATATACCGGGGGTCGGTCTGCGGGAAGGACGGTCGGTCCTCGGGGGCGACGCGGTCAAAGTCCACGAAGATAGAATTGGTCAGGGAGCCGAGGAGCAGCCCGCCCACGGAGCCGCCGCTCCCGGCAATAAAGAGAAAAGCTGCCGGTGATAGACGTAAACGATGGCGATAAATGAAGATACATTGCAATTAATGTTATACTTTTCATTGCAGTGCTTTGCGACACCCTTAGTTTATATGTGTGAGAAATCCTCTTGGACAATGCAATCTTATGTATTAATAGTGATACTTTGATACTATAGCATACTCTTACTAACTATATTCACCGAAGCAAAACAAAGCAAGTCTGGTCAAGCTGGTACCTTATCGCTACACATCGTATTCAGTTGATTCAGAATCGCTATTCACTAGAAAATATGTTTTTGCCTCTGGTGTACACATTGGGATTGATTTAGCCCAATTCAAGATAATCACATTACACACAAACACTTTAAGTCTCTCTTCATCAGCCAACCTAGCCAAGTCCCAAGAGACTGTGTGTGAGTGCGTCAGTCAGTAATTTTTCAGTGAGATACAGTTAAAGGTACAAATGAGACCTGGAACTCATATAGGAATTTAAGAGCTGTAATGGAAAGCTTACCAAGATAAACTGGCGTGGTATGTTTGCCGACTGCATCATCGATATACGTGGTCCCGAGAGGTTTAATGGGCACGTTGCCAATGCCCAGCATTATCTGACCGATAATGAGCCAGACTATGGGCTTCTCTGCTGGCTGCTCGAATTCCACAAAGCAAGGATTGGCTTTGTCCTTGGGGTCATCTGAGCAGTAGTCCACGAACTGGTCCGTGTCGTTGCAGCCCAGTGGGGCGCTGGTGTACGGAGGCAGCCGTAGATGTGGCACAGCACAGGTTAGGACGCCCAGGCCGGCTATAACTGACCCGACGGCGATGATGCGAGGCCGGTGGCGACTCTGGCCGAAGTAAGCCACAAAGACGACCAGGGCCAAATCCATTGCATCATTCAGAATGGCAAGGGCACCAGATTCGGTACTTGAAAGAAAACAGTGAGTGAAGTCTTTGGGGGTGAGGTGGATGACTCGCTCGTCCCAACGCCCTATCATAGGAGCTTGTGACCCTTATTTTATGTTTTATTGTACCGGATAATTTTTGAGTACCCCGGGGCCAACTCTTCTGTAAGAGATTAGCGGTGACCAGTTCTCTCGGGTTTGGGTATGAACGGAGATATCCTTAAGGCCAGTGATAGATTGGACGCAGGATCATCATATGAATCAGGACGAATTAATTATGAAGAAAATAGGCATCTATTTCTGAAAATAATGTAGGTGGAAACAGGGCGAGTTAAACAAAAAGTCCCCTTAGATACATTTTTGTCTCCAACGTAAATGGGAAATGCTACCATTTATTTTCTGTCAAGCCAGCATTAAATCTAGGTATTGACCACAGTCAGTACAATTTTCACTGATATTTATCCATACACGCAAAGGGTACATGCATTTTTTTTACTACTAACAAAACAAATACTGTTATCATGAAAAGCGTCACCTTGTGGTATCCAGAACCAGCTGGTCACTTCCTTACCTGGACAACTCAAACTGCTTCTCAATGGTGTCGATGATGGTGCCCAGATACACATTTCCCGAGACCTTCAACAGGAAGTACAACATGCTCCAGAAAGCGAACGCCTTGGGCCCGCCAGCAACCCATCGCAGACACCCAGGCCGTAGAGACCCTGTGCCAGTTACTGAAACTCTTCTTCCAGACTCAGTCGACACGGAGACTGCGTCGCCCTGCTTCGACGGCTGTGTCCAAACATTCTCCTGTTCACAATTCGTAAACGCCTGGAGAAGGAAGTGTTGTAATATTTCAAACATTTATAGCGTTAAGAGTTTCGCGACTACATTACCTAAATGGACAGAGGGACTCCTAGCTCGGTCTTCAGAAATCTCAGTACATCACAGGTTAAAGGCTATCGAGTTTGAGATCCTATTTACAAACAAAAACGACCGGTATTGACGTAAGGATCTACAATAGTGGTACCCAGTTACTACACATTTACGGATAGATGGGGAGCATGAGTGAGAACGGGGAAAGACGGCATTTAAAGACAGGTTAATCATGTGATAGGATCAACATTTAGTTTTGCAATTCACATCTGTAATGCTATCGGAACTGTGTGCTCCAGAAAAAAAGAGAGCAGTGGCCTATAGCTAGTGATGAACAGGTGCATACCTATATTTTCCAATACCTACATGTTTCCCAACCATAACCCTAATCATGTAACCCTGACACTAACCACAATGATTTCGGGGCTTATTTTTATATCGAGGAACATGGATATTGGGGAATATTGGGTAAACCCCGTGTTGAACTTGCAATGCAACTGAAGTGGCTTTGGTCATAGTTTATAACAATTCAAAGGTCTCTGTTTTGAGGAGGAATGGTCTCCACAAAAAAAAAAAAATGACACTTCAAATAATAATCATAAGCGAATGGTTTAACCCTAAATCCATTAGCGGGGTGCAAAGGCATATTAAACTTCAGGACTGTTATGGTAGATAGGGCAACACTCTAATATACTTGTACACGGACCTAAAATGTCACCTAACACAGGTTTACTGTATCCAACCCCAACGAATGTTCTTATAAAACTTATGGTTTGGACCACGAGGAATCCATCTGGGCCATATGCGACACTAAAATTCCTTCTCCAACGGGTCTATTAACAAAAGCCGATCGAAAAGCGTCGCCCTTTTATAGCAATAGTAAGGAATACCTGTCGCCCGCACACATTATTCAGTAATTTTCAACCGATTGAGGGAACGGGAGCTGAGGCCCATGGCATGGCTGGCATGCCCGCGTGGCCATTCCCCTAGGTATGTCACTGATTGGGTCTTATTTTTGCCCTAGAAGAAATAGAGGCATTTTGGAAAACATCACCTGCAGCAAACGAAGGTTTCGAAATCTTAGGACGAGCATCCCTTTACAAATGGTTCACTAACCACCAAACGTTTGCCCCAAACGATTATAAAATACTGTTTTGGGTCATCAAAAGTGCTAGGCCTCTTGCCAATCAGTCAAGCTGTGGAACAAAGAAGGCCATTTACACCCTAGATTCACATAAAAAAAGGCGTGTGTAATCCTCGACTTCAAAGATTTACTGGTCACTAATCACCCAATCTCAACATTAGCCAGGAAACCAAAGTATTTCATTTGTTTGGTCGCGGAGTGCAGTTGGCTTGTGAGCGAGGAAGCCCGAACCGTTTGGCAAATCATTCGGAAGTAGTTGGCGAAGCAAGCGTTTTGAAGCGTATGGTGGTTAGTGAACCATTTGTAAAGGATTCTGGTCCTTACAGGGTTTTCCTTTCCATTGTAGCTTTTCAATGATCCACTGTGGCCGTCCACTGATCCAGTGGTAACGCTCGATCGTAAGTCATCTCTGTCCGAGCACCACATCATCGTGAGAATCGCAACCTTCGTAGTGCCTTCCCCGAAGAACTTTAAGGCAATCAAATTCTAAAGAGCGATCCGACGTCAAGGCTGCCCTCTCTCATCTAACACAGTTTAGTTCGGGGCTGATTTCCTAATTTGCAAAAACAACATTGAGACAGCTCAGTGAACCAAAACAACGAAAGCGTTTATTTTAAACCTAATTTATTGTAATTGTATACACTACTTCAAGTCAGTTTGTGGAGACAAAATAATATATTTGTATAAATTATGAGTTTCAATCAATCAATCAATCAAATCTTTAATTTTTCCCAACACATACATGCACATAATATCATCTTATATTTGTTAATTCGTTGGGTTTTATATTTGCGTTTGAATAATGTTACGTTTGACACCTTTTTAAGAGACGGATTGAGAGAATTCCACAGCTTGGGCCATTCATGTTGAACAGGTTTAGAGTTAATGTTGTAGTACGAGCCCAGGTGTGATGAATGTCATGATAACGCCTTTTAAAAAACAGTGAACATCCTGGTTTATCAAAACATTGAACAGATAGTGTTAGGCAGGTTATTGTTAGAAAGCTGGTTCATGAAGTTCCCAAGCTGTAGAAGGTAAAAATCATTGGCCTTTAGTGGTTTGTGTTTATAAAATACAGGATTGCTGTTAGCCCGAAAGTCAGTACGGTTAATTATTATTATATTTTTTTTAAGGGCAACAATTCTTTTAATATTACTCATTCCACCATTCCCCATGCTAACAAACCATAGTTTACTTCAGGCTAATTGAGCTTGAAAACCATTGCCAGGTTGTAGCCGCTACATGGCTTGATCTGCATCAACGTTTTGTCGACGTGCACAACATGAAGTTAACAAAATTATCAAGCCCAGTTTATATCTGCATCCTGTTGTCAGATCTTTCAGAGTGCTGCAACTGCCCCCCGACTTGGGACGGCTAATTTGATTAGCACTGATTTTTGAAACATTTGATGTAAGAAAAGTTGAAGCAGAAATGTGACCTTTAATTGTTACAAAGAAATTATTTGAAGTGTTTAAAGGTTGTGATAATAATAATTTCGTAATTACATTTAAATATACACTGAAATTCGGTCTTTCTGAATTGCTCTTTTAAATGTTAAGCACTTAGGCAAAACTTGATAGACTATTTGGGGTATTGTTCTATGTTTTTAATTATTAGATGGTTGAGATTTGTGGGTCCCTACCCAAGACATGAACCTTGACGGGGATCCCTGAGGCTACCAAAACCAAGGATAGGCTCCGCGGTACTTCCAAAGATCGTGTCAGGATCCAGACAGTCCCTTATTCCTTGATATCTGCGCCCGACTCCTCTTTACACCGGTAGACTGAAACAAGTTTAAACTCAGAATTGTATCAAACAAAAAATGCTCGAGATTAATTGTTTGAGTGTGACTTTGATAATAACTTGAATAATCTTGTAGAAGAGAATTAAAAAGCTGTAAATACCCCTGTTTTTTTTCATTAATCAGCCAAATTATTGTATTAAGGACTTAAGTGAAAATATTTGTAAATAATTTGCTAATAGATTAAGTTCTGAACAAGACAGAAGTTGTTTGGGGTTTTTCTTTTGTTGTTTAGTTGTACATAATCATATAGCTGTAGACGGATGGATAACGGATGCGTAATATTCTAACAGGTGGATTCTTTTTAAGCCAGAATACGTTGATTTTATCAAAATAACATCGGTGCATTTGATTATGACAAAACATTCTTCTTCTTTTTTCAACAGGGAGAGATGTGGCAAACACGCAACTAGAATCTATGATTATTGGCAATTGTGGTGTTCGTTAAACGCACTGTACGTTTGTGCTGTGAGATCCCATTTTGGATCACAAATAAAGTGTGTATAAAAATGGTACATTTGAAAATCGTATGTTTTGTAGGTGAACAAAAAAATATTTGATGGGGTCAATTTGCTTCATAAATACAAAAAAGACACTTTCTTCCCTATCTTTTTGGGTGTTCTGATCATATGTTATGTCAAAGTATCGGAAACATGTCATTTCTACTTAGTCCACCTTCTGCACTTACCTGTACTTTGCCAATCAATATTGAGTTGGAACAACCTAAACGTACGTTCCAATGATTATGTAATCACTGAATGATAGGTTCCAACTCGGGCGATTCACAACGTCACCAGGAGTTTGCCACGGAGAGTTAATTTTCCCAAGTTCATTGTGGGAGATGGTCGACAAATTCACAGCGCGGGACATTTGAAATTGTTAGTTTTCCCGTCAGAAAGTTCGTAAACGTATGATTCGAGTATATCTTTGCCCTTTTCTTTTCTTTTTATCAAAATTGGAGTTTTTTTGTTAGGCGGCAGAATGCTATGCCACAATCTATAACATATTAGCTCAAGTTGTCTACTAACACTTATTCAAATGGGCCATGCTTTGTCGACCGTAAACTTGAAAAATTGACTCTCCATGGCAAACTATTGGTGGCGCACTGCATTGTGAATCGCCCGAACTAACAAATGATTGGCAAAGACAAATATGTAAATGAGAGATTGCTGGCATGTTCATCTCCTTTCAACCACTTTGCTGCCAATTTTATAAGATTGACATTTCATCCCTTTCAATTAACTGTATATATTATCTCTGATTAGAGGTGTCCAAAGATAAAGAAGAAAAAAAAAACCAAGAATTGTGTTGCGAAATAATCATTCTTTAAGCGTACATATATTAATATTAAACAAAATAAGTGCTAGTATTTTTAATATTTTTCTCTAAATGTATCGGGTTTTTTCGGTTGCCGGTGTAAACTGTGTGATTTATTATTGCATTGCCAGTGTCAACTTGTTCCTTCTCTTATTATTGGCCAGTGTCAACTTTGCACTTGAAGTTTGTGCCTGTCATCATAGTTATACATAATCTGAGTTAGTCAACAGAGATGGCCGTTAACGCAATAGCACGGGTAAACAAGTTCCCAAATAACCACCGAAGCAAGTTTTAAAGTCCACTTGAAACAGCCATTTAAATGTGATTATTTTAATAAAGCCTGTTGTCTGCCATACTGTGTCATTGTGACGTGTTCATGTTGGTGACTGCAGCTCTATGTTCCGACACCCCTATTTTCCGACAACCTGCACATAAGATTGTGTTACTCCCGGTGAGGGTAAGGGTTAGTGATAGGGTTAGGGATAAGAATATGTGCAGTCGGAACATAGGGGTGTCGGAACTTTGGGGTGTCAGAACATAGGTTGGGTAGGTTTGATTTCCAAAGGAGTTTGGACATTATTTGTGTTCAATTAAAGGCATGTCAAAAACAAACTGAACCGATTTCAAGGACAATCAACCATGGGCATTTTTTTCTAATGTGGAAATGCTCCATCACGTTCATGATGTGACGATCTCGTTGCCTTTTACTTTCTCTGTTTGTTTGTTTTTTTCGATCGACGTAGACTACACCTTAACTAAATTCTAGTGTTCTTCGTTTCAAGTTCAATGTGTTTGTAACATAAATCAACTGTTTTTTTTTTTTCTTTAGTTCAACAGCTGGTTGACTTGAGTTTGCATCTGATGTGCAGCTTCATCGATTTTTCTTGAAATCGGTTGAGTTTGTTTTGGACATGCCTTTATTTGAACACGAAATTTTCAAACTATTTTAAACATCAAACCAATACCTGCCAGGGATAAAGTTAAGATTCCAAGCTTTAAAAGGGTATAATAATGGCGGTACACGTTTCCGTGCCGACGCTAGAGCCTTGCATATCAAAAACAAAGTTTGTCTATTGAGGACGCGCTGTTTGTGATATGCCTCAAGTTTGCGAGAGGGAGGTTTGTTTTTCAGCATGAAAGAAACAAGCCATAAAATGTCATCTTGCAGGTTAAAAGAGTGTTACATTGAGTTTTAGTCACAAGTACTTACCAGTGCAACGTACCTTTCAACTGACGTGCTGTGTCAAATATTATCCGGTTAGATATTTCCCCAGATGACTCCGAAGTGAATCTACATGCTGAATGCTTTTTAGAGCAAGGGAACAAGGTCTACGTCAAGGTCAAGGGGTAGGTTAACAATCATGGAACCGACTGGTACGATTGTCAACTTTGTTGATTCGTTTATTTGTTTGCATCTTTTTTTAGTCATGTTCAAGGTTTACCAGTTATAAAAGTTAGAGTGGCTGGATATTCTCATCACAGGCCGAGTGTCCTGTGCATGCGCTGAAGAGCCGACCTGATCATTAATAGGAACACTTTAGATATCTGTGTGCTTGTGCACATTTACATAGGCTTGTGTACAAATGCACTATATACATTGGGATTGTTTCGATCACCCCTGTGACCAAAATGGAATGTCAAATAGAGTTCAGTCTGTGGTTTTAACGGCTGCTTGGGGCCTGAGAGATACTCCAGACATGCCAGAGGTTAATCAGGGGTGAATGGGCTGGTTGTGAGGGTCGGGTGGCTCAAATTACATGTTGTCATGGAGTCATTCCATACAGCCACTTGATATTAAACATTAAAGGTGCTCGCTCCGTCGAAGGTACATTCCTTATAAAGTTGTGGGGAATCAGCGAAAATTTTCGAAGCTCTCCAGACTAAGTTTGCTATTACACGCGCCCCATTCTTCTTGAGCGCAAGGAGAGAAATTCTCCGTGAAAACATTTTTGCTCACTTTTGAGCAGAGTGCGCACCATATGCCTTGCAATTACTTCGTGAAAACGAAAATTGTCACTTTTGCGCAAAAGTTGCCAAGCGTAATTATTAGAGTAAACCTCTTGAAGTTTTGAACCTTCGTGCAATGGTAGGTCTTGATGAATTATGTTTGAAAATTCCCCCCAAAAAACCTGAAGATCGAAAAAATATGAATTAACACGGTGGAGTTTTTTTTCTTTGTGGTGTCGGTGACGATTTGCCCCAACCCCCATTAAATTAACAGCGGTATGGGCTCGCATCTCATTTCCATTTTGTTGTTCTTTTCTAAGAGGGAGGGGGCGAGCCCTCTTACCCCCCCCCCCCCCTCACGACACCCATCTTTGCTTGGTCCATTGGCGCAGAGAGATTATTTTCTCCAAGAATGGCCTTAGTATAGTGTTATTACTAATCTAGCAAGGTTGGCAATCAGGAAGAAGAACAAATAAATTGGA